TATGGGTTCAATGCAAGAGGTGATTCACATTCTCCAAACCCGTTTTGTATAATATGTGGTGATCACCTATCCAATGAAGCCGTGAAACCTTCAACACTGCTTTGTCTCATGGAGACCAACAACTCTGCATTAAAAGACAAGCCTTGGAGTTTTTCAAATGAAAAAAAAAATGTGAACACAAAGAAGAGAAGCAATTATTGGAGGCCACCACTTCATTAGATGCATCTGCACTGACAGCATCATTCTTGTGGCTAACCACATTGCTAAAGCTAAGAAGCCCTTTACTCTTGGTGAAGAGTTGATCCTGCCTGCTGCTAAGGACATTTGTTGTAAACTTTTAGGAGATACTGCAGTTCAAAAGGTGGTACATGCTCCTCTTTCAGCCAGCACCATAACTAAATGAATTGATAAAATAGAAGATATTGAGACACTTTTGTTAGAGAGGATTAATGAGTCACTGTGGTATGCAGTCCAGGTTGATGAGTCTACTGATGTTGACGACAATGTAACAATACTTTTTGTTTGTTTGTTTTTGAAATGGAGTCTTGCTGTCGCCCAGGCTGGAGTGTGCTTCCCGGGTCCAAGCAATTCTCCTGCCTCAGTCTCCTGAGTAGTTGGGATTACAGACACCCGCCACCGCACCCAGCTAATTTTTGTATTTTTAGTAGAGATGGGGTTTCATCATCTTGGCCAGGCTGGTCTCAAACTCCTGACCTTGTGATCCACCCATCTCAGCCTCCCAAAGTGTGGGGATTACAGGCATGAGCCACAGCCCCTGGCCAGCAGTGCTTATTTTTGCGCAATATATTTTCAGGAGAATGTGCATGAGGAAATGTGTGTACTTTTGCCAACCAACACCACAGCTGCAGCACTAGTCAAGTCTTTGAATGATTACATATCAGGAAAACTGAAAGGTCATTTTGTGTTGGTATATGCATGGACAGAGTGACCATGACTGGACAGCTTTCTGATTTCACTACTTGGGTTAAAGAGGTTACTTCTGAATGTGACTCTATGCACTGTGTCATCCGTAGAGAAATGCTGGCTAGCCAAAAAATGCCACCTGAACTTAACATCATTTTGCAGAATGTAACTAAAATTATCGACCACATTAAAGTACATGCCCTTAACTTATGTCTGTTCACTAAGCTCTGTGAGGAGATGGATGCAGAGCACACCTGTCTTCTCTTATACGTAGAACTGAGATGGCTTTCTAAAGGTAGATCACTGGCCAGAGTGTTTGACTTATGAGAGCTACTCCAGAGATTTCTTTTAGAAAAAGTCACCTTGGCAGCACATTTCAGTGACACAGAATGGGCTGCAAAACTTGCTTACTCGTGTGACATGTTCAACCTGCTCGACAAACTCAATCTGTCACTTCAGGGGAGAATGACAACTGTGTTCAAGTTGGCAGATAAAGTGGCTACATTCAAAGCCCAATTGGAATTATGAGGGTGATGAGTGAACATTGAGATTTTTTTTTTTTTTTTTTTTAAATGTTTCAAACATTAGCAGGGATTTTGAAAGAGATTGAGCCAGAGCCTTCTTTTTCCCAGGTGATACATGATTACCTACCTCAGGTTTCAAAAGAGTTTGAGCATTACTTCCCAGCGATAAAATACCCCTGAACTGGGAAGGAAAGGATCTGCTTCCCATTTGTAAATAAACCTGGTGAATCCATTTTGTCCATGCTAGAAGAGGATCAATGGCTTGAGATTGCAAATGTCAGTGGCCTTGAAAGCATGTCTGAGACAACTTCAAATCTCCATATGTTCTGGGTTAAAGCCATGGTGGAATATCCTGAGATGGCCACAGAAGCACTGAAAAGCTTGTTTCTATTTTCAGTTTCTTTCTTTTTTTTTTTTTTTTGAGACGGAGTCTTGCTCTGTCGCCCAGGCTGGAGTGCAGTGGCTGGATCTCGGCTCACTGCAAGCTCCGCCTCCCGGGTTTACACCATTCTCCTGCCTCAGCCTCCCGAGTAGCTGGGACTACAGGCGCCCGCCACCTCACCCAGCTAGTTTTTTTTGTATTTTTTAGTAGAGACGGGGTTTCACCGTGTTAGCCAGGATGGTCTCGATCTCTTGACCTCGTGATCCGCCCTCCTGGGTCTCCCAAAGTGCTTGGATTGCAGGCTTGAGCCACCACGCCCGGCCTATTTTCAGCTTCTTACTTTGTGAAGGAGGGTTTTCTGTAGTGACAGCAACCAAAACAAGATTTCAGAGTAGACTGGACATAAGCAACAGACTTGGGATGTCACTGTCTTCCATCACACCCAGATGAGACCGTCTAGTTACCAGCTCAGGGCTCCCACTGATTCTACATTATGATGAGTTGTATAATTATTTCATTATATATTACAACATAATAATGATAGAAATAAAGTGCACAATAAACTTAATGTGCTTTAGTCATCCCAACACCACCCCACCACAGTCCATGGAAAAATTGTCTTCCATGAAACCAATCCCTGGTGCCAAAAATATTGGGGACCACTAACCTAGACACTTTCAGACACCTGGAGGAGTCCATATATTGAATCATGGATTAGGGATTTGTTTGCCTTACAACTGGGGGATACAGAAAATTAGATGGTATGTAGTTGAAAGGAAATAAGACCCAAGACTGCCATTGACCTTAGGAGTGAATTCGAGGCACCAGAAGTGGAGTTGAGCATTTTACTAAAAAGTGAGTAGGAGTTAAGCTCACTGATAGAAGAAAAGCCAAAGGAAGACTTAGAGTGGCTGCCTTCTAAGTCCCGAGCTTCGCCTTCCCTGTGCAGATTGGTCTCTCTATTATTCTTTCCTCCTTTCCTTTTCCCCTGTGACTCTTGATCTTTCTCATTCTGTTCTTCTTTTTATTTATTCTCCTCTTCAACTCTGGTAGGCATCATTGAGACCTCCATATGCTTCTCATTATTACAAAGAAAATCACAATTCTGAAATTAGATGCGAGTCTGATGGAAGTAATTTTGAATAATTGATTCTAGCAGCATGAATATGTTGCACGTAGATCTCAGCTTGAAATGCCTTGATTTGGAAGTTAATACTAGGTAAGAAAATGCTTATAAATGTTCACTTGGGGATTCAGAACTCAGAAGTATAGCTGTAGTAGTGTCAGCATTTTACACAGAACAAAAACTTTTTTTTTTTTTAGTAAAAATATTATTTTTCACTAAAAATAATTTTTGTATTTTTAGTAGAGACCGGGTTTCACCGTGTTGGCCAGGATGGTCTTGATCTCTTGATCTCGTGATCTGCCTGCCTCAGCCTCCCAAAGTGCTGAGATTACAGGCATGAGCCATAGTGCCTGACTGACAAAAACATTTTTATGGAGAAAAAAAGGTAGAGGTAAAAGACCCCTAACTTAAGCAAAGTATTTCTATTTCTGTAGGCTGGGCACAGTGGTGCACGCCTGTAATTCTAGCACTTTGGGAAGCAGATGGCTTGAGCCCAGGAGTTCCAGACCAGTCTAGCCAACATGGTGAGACCCTGTCTCTACAAAAAATAAACAAATTAGCCTGGCATGGTGGCACATGCCTATAGTTCTAGCTATATTTGAGGGGCTGTGGTTAGAGGATTGCTTGAGCCCAGGAGGTCAAGGCTGCAGTAAGCACTCCAATCTGGGCAACAGATTGAGACCCTGTCTCTAAAGCACGCACACACGCACACATACACACGTGTGTGTGAGAGAGAGTGTGTGTGTGTGTGTATATATATATCCTACTTGGTGAGTATGAATATAAACTACCATAGTTAATATTTTTATATTGCTATTAGAGCTGAAAAATGTTTAGAAGCCAACCATTTCCTACTTCCTAATTATCCCATTTACAGGAGAAGATATTAAAGTCATTTAAAGACTACATGAACATTAATCCTAGCCCTCATTTTCTTTTTTCTTTCTTTTTTTTTGAGACGGAGTCTCGCTCTGTTGCCCAGGCTGGAGTGCAGTGGCGAGATCTCGGCTCACTGCAAGCGCCACCTCCTGGGTTCACGCCATTCTCCTGCCTCAGCCTCCCGAGTAGCTGGGACTACAGGCGCCTGCCACCACGCCCGGCTGATTTTTTGTATTTTTAGTGGAGACGGGGTTTCATTGTGTTATCCAGGATGGTCTTGAGCTCCTGACCTCGTGATCCTCCCGCCTCGGCCTCCCAAAGTGCTGGGATTACAGGCATGGGTCACTGCGCCTGGCCTCTTATTTTCAATATAATTTTTTTTACTTATCTCTGCATGTTTATAGGTAAATAATGATAAAACAATTATAAACCAGAATTAGATACACATACATACATACACATTATATTTTAGTTCAGAGTGATTTAGATCACTAGGCTTGCTAAAATATTCTCAAGAAGTATGTATATATGTGTATGTATATATATTCGTATTTGTATTCACTTTTAAATATTAAAATGTCTGTAGAAGAGTCATGAGACTTTAGAATAAAAATAACGGAAATAAATACCAACGCATTTATTGTAAAGTCTGCAAGTCATAAAAGAGATCCGTTTTCATGAGTTCTGCTGTGCTGACCTGTGGAAAACAAAATATGAGCAGGGTTGAACTTCTGCAGTTATAATTAATCTTTCTAAATTTAACATCATTCTACAAGAATAAAATTTTTATCGGTCCATGTTAAGTGTGTAAATAAATTCAATGCAAAGTAATGTTTAAACATTTTTGGCTGTTGCTTTTCTAAATTCATCAAAGGCATTTTCATTTAGGTCTCAGTTCATAAGTTCTTCCCTGATCTCCTTTTTAAAAATAGCCCTGCCATTCTCTATTAAATCAGCTTATTCTCATTCCTGTGGAGCGCTTGTCAGTACCTGAAAGTATCTTGTTTATTTATATTTTTAGTTGTTCACTCTTATCTAATCCAAGAGCAAATCCAGGTTTCGTGGGGTCTGAAGCTAACACGATTCTGGTGATCCTTTGAAATAAAATGATTTGAAATTATGAGTACAGCAAGTCCTTGAATAATGTTGTTTTGTTCAACATCATTTCATAATAACACCGATGAGAAAAACAGTGACTCCCAGAGGGACCACGGTCTGCGTGGAGCTGGCACCTTCTCCCCTGATCCGCAGGGTTTTCTCTGGGTTGTCAGGTTTCCTTGAACTGGCACGTCCACATTGTCCCGGTGTGAGCAAGTGTGGGTGCGAGTGTGAGTGAACCCCGTGATGGCTTGTTGTCCTGTCCAAGCCTGGCTCCCCCGCCTTGTACCCTGAGCTGCTGAGATTGGCTCTGGCTAATCACAACCCTGAACTGGAATAATTGGGTAAATAATTATTTTATTTTTATGAAATATATTTATTAATTATTAAATGTATGTATGTCTATTAAATATATGCATAGCTAACATTTATTTGGTTAATAGTAGGAGTGTTTTGGTTTTTATTTAGGAGTTTGGTGATGCTTTTGTGACTAGAAATATGCAGTAGAAACTTACCTCTTGTTTACATCAATTGGTCAGTGTAAAGTGGATATGTGATATGTCATTTGGCTTAAAGTCGCTGTTTTCAATAACTTATTGACTTATTGTACCAAATGAGGTAGAAGACGTCGCAGAAAGCACTGTGCAAGGGAGTGGACCTGAAGCTTTTCTTCGCTGGCTTCAGAATAAATCCAGCCCTGGTCTTACCCATCAGCTTGTGAGATTTCCTAGGCGTAGAGGCTTTGTTTCTTGCTCACTGCTGAATCTCCAGCACTTCACAGACACTTAATACATGTTTTTTTTTGAGTGAATTAGTGAAGGTGCATGCTACAATCATACTTCCTTTATTGCCCATAATTGCTTTTCTCATAGCAAATACAAATTTCTTCTGTTCTAAATAATGAGGCATAGTGATCTCATTATTTCATTGTTCCATTTGAGTTCCTGTATTTGTTTGCTGTGGTGCCTTATGGAAAAGTAATTTTGTTGTAATAAGGACTTCATTTTTTCTGTTTAAATTGCTATCCAGCATGACGTCTCTCAGGATATAATATTATATTTCACTGTTATATAATTGTGAAAGGCTTAGCAAGCTCATTCTCACTTTCCCTTTTGAGAATTTTATGGGTACTTGTATTTATTTATTTTTGACTTAATTTTATTTTCTGAATTTTGCCTCCATGAGCATATACTGATTTTTACAATAAAAATAATGAAAAAAGTTTTTGGGAAAAAAACAGAGTAAGTTTTGTTCTCACTGTTTGCCTGAAGCCTATCACCATTTTGCAGAATACTTTTACCACATGAAATTCCTGTTCATATTCCCTACTCACCTTATCCTAATTTTTTTTCTTTCATAGTGGTGGTAGTTTATTTACCTAACGGGGATGTCTGCTAAGAGTTGCAGTGTTTCTCAATGCATAGCTTTCAGGCCTGAATTTTGTAAATATGTGTACTTCTTTTTTTTTTTTTTTTTTAGGCCGTGCACCCACCATTTGCTCCAGCTGATGTTGTGTATTTTTATCAAGACAGGCGTTTTCACCATGTTGGCCAGGATGGCTCTAGATCTCCTGACGTTGTGATCCACCCCTGCCTTGGCCTCCCAAAAGTGCTCGGGACCTTACAGTGTGAACCACTGCACTTTGGCCCATATGTGTACCTTCTGTTGTTCACTTGAGAACACATCCTGAAATTCAGGGTGAACTTATACGTCATTATACTTTATCTGTTCTGATAGTAGAACTACAGGGAATAGGCCAACGTGTGGGCCCACAGATACTCTTCTTTCATTTTTTTTCATGACGATTCCAATACACTTTTAAGGGGCTTACATCAAACCCTGGTGTGATTTGATTGTAATTAATTAATTAATTTTAAAGCATCTGGGACATATGTGTACAATAGCCTTCTGATCAAAGCAGTTTCAATGGACTTCCACGTGATGCAAGCAAGACACATTCCC